AGAAACCAATTTAAATAACAAAAAAATTGAAAAAAAAAGGGGAAAAAATTTCAGAATTTTTTATTTATAATACCTAGCCATATTCTTCACTTCCCATACTAAAAATTTATACAAATTCCTCTCCTCGTATCTCATGTGAATAGTGATTGCCCTTAGATTGCCACGGCAATGAGTGGAAACCAATAAAATAATTGTTAGGGCAGGCAATATTCATGTGAATAGTAACAGCCCTTGCCTCCCTTTACATTTTACCATGGCAAATAGGTGGAAATGCTCTTAAAGGCAAATTAAGCATACATGGGCTTAGCCAAGTTGACTAGAGCGGATATGCTCCCCATTTTGCACCCGAGTTCAAATCCCCCACATCGTAATTTAAATTATATTAAAATAGAATATCTCTTGTATAAAAAAGGCAAACTAAACCCTAACAAAGGCCACTTCTTAGGAAAAAAACAAAGTTGCCTAAACTCTTAGCAAAATCAAATGCCTTCCACTCTGTAATACTAAGCAACATTTAAGTGGCAGTACTTACAACTGTAGATGAAAGATCGACGAACAACCAGCTGGCTATTGGTTTGGCTGTTCCTGGCTTAATGAATTGGTTTTTAAATTTCATGGTCCTGTTAAAGCCTGGAACCTGATGGACCTCCACCACATGGATTTTGATACTCCAAAAACCAGCAAATTCCGTTGAAATGCTGAAAACCTCCAAAGACACGTATCCTCAAAGAGTGCCAACAAGATTGGAGCTTCATTAATTACTTTAATTTGTTATGAGAAAATATACGTGCAACACTCACATCATGGGCCTTTTGGAATGTGACAAAGTTTTCACTTTTGACAATGTAGCATATGTAATAGCTCAAGTAGTTAAAAGTAGTTATTTATGCACTTAAGAAATGATATATTTACACGCCTAGTTTGTCATCTCGCACTCTGTTTATTAATTATTTTTTAATATATTTACATGTCTAATTTTAGATTGCGAGATCTAAGAGTGTGAAACATTTTATATATTAAAATAAAAGATTTAAAGTACTTGACATTAGATTTTATATTCCCAAGTCCCAACAAATATATATCACTAGTTGGAGGAATTGTAGTTATATCTTCCGTTCTCATCGTGCAATTTGGTCTCATAATTTTATAACCCTCCATTTTCAAAGTCACCCTTCAATGATTATTCCTGTTAAAAATATACAAACATTCGAAATTATATACCCATTTCAATATTATGATGATTATTTCTAAATTTTATGTGATAAATATATTCATTAGATTCTATTTTCTCAACCATATGATATACTTTACGTAATATATTCATTAGAGCCTATAATGGTTTGTCCAAATTCTGCTAATGGTTTAATCTTGGTGTGCACGGTTGAATAACAACCCAAAGTGTTTCGATGTTCACCTAAAAAATTAACTTGCTCGTACACTTTAATAGTATAACATAGGAGCTTGTAGCTTCAATAGTCAAAATGTATCTCTACATTGATATTCTGTGTTCGATTCTCTATTATTCAAATATTGTCAGTATTTATAAATAATTTTTTTTAAAAACATAATGGGTCTCATTTCTAATACTTGAATAGCCATTTACACTTCTTTCTAAGCTTTACCTGAACACGTGACATTGAGGAGACATTTCATATATACCTTGTTCAAATTTTAACATGCAGCATATCTAAACAAGGGCCATTCTCCCTCATGCACTTCATTTAATTTATAAACGTGCTTGACAAGATCGATTCATAAAACTTCAAAAAAATAAAGCTCTTCTTCTTCCCTCCTCTTCCTTCTCCTTCTCTTTGCCTGGCGACCATTGTATTGCAATTTGCAATGGCACACCGTGTGGGCCATGGCTATCAACCCAAAGCATTATTAGTTTATTAAATTGTATTTTCTTTAATTGAAAACACAAATAATGAGAATATTTATTATTATAGAGAAATGGTATATTGAATTTTAATAGAATTAGCCGTACTCTTTTCACATATTGTGGAAAATACACATGACAGCCGAAAAGAAAATCCACACTACTAAAAAAACACACACTATGTACTGATCCAAATTTGTCCCCTAAATTAAGTTTTGAGACAATAAATTGTCTCCATTAACTAATAGAGACTATGCAGCCACTATTTTTAAATCAGTATCCTAGTTTGGGGTTGCTATTGTTTTTTGGGTACCATTTATTGAGTCAGTCCTTTCCTATTTTCCATTAAATAAATACCTTTTAAGATACAAGCCCTTTGAGTTAAGCTAAGCCATGTTCAATGGCTTCAAGCTTGGGATCTGATATTTGGAATGGTGTCTATTATATTAGGCACTAATCATGACATATCAGTTTGCAATTGTGTACTCTTCAAATAAGACAGATCTGAGTTTTAGTATCTTCTCCCTTAGAAACGCAAAAATATATCAGTTCATGTTGGTTCAATATCAGTCCCCATTGTATGAGTACCCATTTAATAACACCCTATCATTTATGTAATACACTTAAAGCCATCAATTTCGATTTTTATTTGAAATGGTGTCTACCTTATCAGAGACGCATCATGATATATCAGTATGCAATTGTGTACTGATGAACCAATACAAATCAATATGCATCATCTCATATTAGTATGCCATCAGTCCCATTACTTTGAAAAGTTGAAATTAATATGCACTTTGAATATTGATTTTTATTTAATAATCTGTAATTGTGAAATACAATTTGTGGGGCTGGTTAACTTATTGTACTATATTTAATTCCTCAAGGTTTGATCAACTGGAAAACTCTGGTACGCTCTATTGTGGAGGTTGGAGGAGCTGGTTCTCATATGCTCTGTTCCAACTATTTTATTTTGTAGATTGATGGTCTTCTCATCTAGCCTACTCAAGAGAATAGTCCAATGAACAGTTTCAAAAGTCGACAACAAAAACATATCCAAGTCACTCCATATTTGATGCTTGATCCTCATCTAGTCTTGTCTTTCCCTACAAAAGAAAAAGCATATGTTTTCTTTCATTGTGCAAGACAGGGGATAGATATATAGAGAGAAAGATGGGATAACCCAAAGAAAAAGAAGAGATTTTGGAAGAAAATAGCCAAAAAGATTCAATGTCATGACCCCAATTCCATCCATCATCATCTAACATCACCCCCCTCCTCAGACAAAGAAAAAAACATTGAAGAATTTATAGAAAGAACAATCAAACCATCTGGAATGTAGGTAAAGTATAATATTTTTGCATGCAAAGAATGTCACCCACTTTTTAAAACACCTTGTTTAGAACTAGAAAGAAATTGAAACATAGATCTTTCATAAAGACCGACCAACAAGAAAGAAAAAAATATCTTGTAGACGAGCTGGTTCATGCATGTTCATACCAAACTAAAGGTTCTTGGATTTTATAGAGACATTCTCCCGCCTATTTGAAATTTCGTATTTTGAAATCAGCTGGAAATAGTACTTATGCAGCCAATAAGGTTTTTTAAAGTTCTAATATGTTGTTTCACGGTTAAACATTAGTTTCTGTAGGAAAAGAGTTTATAAATGGAAGAGACTAGAAAAAGAAGTCAGTATCCAATTGAAGGCAAAACGCCAAGGCAGCTGAGTGAAGAGGAGGGAAGCCAGTTTGCAAAACAAAAAAGGGAAGCCAGCCAAAGCTTGGCTGATTTGTGAGTGGAGCCGAGCTTGTTTGACAAATTGGGACTGATAAAAGGCCCAAATATGAAGGGAAAAAAATGAAAATCACTTTATTTCTATTACACACCAAAATCTATCCCAAATATCATTAATAGGCATAATGGGAGAATTAGTTTCCAAAAATAAATCAAAAACTACTTTTATGTATTTGTATCTAGATAATCAGTGGGTAATGGCTGTTTTTCTAGTAGTGCCATCCTCTTATTTATCCCAAAAAACCCACCTTCTAATTCGTGCCGTAAGAAATAGGTAAATTTATTTTTGATGCAATTTGTTTCTTTCTTTTTTTGTAGCATGAAAAGTCTACACACTAGTGCTCATCTGATACAAGACTTTATGGTAAGTAAGCTAGAGTGTTGTAAATCACATGCATCATACAACTCTTTGTTTTTTTGGTTTGGTGAACAAAAGTTTAGAGAGAAATTGGCTACTCTTACCACCAACGTCAAGATAGACCCACAACTTTGAGCCGGAATGACTTACGCATGACACCCAATTACCAACTATCACTGATATGGATTTATATAAAAAACCACATGCATCATATAACTCATTTTTATTATCATTAAATTTATGCTGATAAAGTTAAGATTCGATTCCTTTCCATTGTATAAAAAAAGAAAAGAAAAAAGTTATCTTTCGTTTCATCAAAAGATAAGACTGTTAACCAAGGTGGTTGGTGTGAGTGGTTCGGCACTCTTATTCCTTAAGAGAGATCAGGGGTTCGATCCTTGCTCTTGTACGGAGTCACCACTTTGGCCAACACTTTACCCCTTACGGGCCGACCCGGTGTGAGTGGGGATTAGTCTGGGTTGTGGTTAAGGCTTAAAGGTGCCACCCATAGTTGGGGCCCATCCAGGACCAACTCATGGTTCAGACAAAAGAAAAAGAAAAAGATAAGACTGTTAAGAAGGAAAATTATAGCTCAAACTGTCACTATCTAGTTGATGTTGCTCTAAATTAAACACGTGCCAAGCATTAATAATATTATTTCCACATTAACCACAAGAAGTTTTAGCATATGCTTCAAGCATTTATCACCTTTCCGTGTATGTTGGAGCTTTTTAAAAAATAAATAAATAAAATCACATGTTAATTTGTGGATTGCAATTCATTTGTGACCTCACAAAGATCTATATCCGCAAGAACAAATACATATTTGCTGATCAGTGATCAGAGAGATGGAGAACTCAAAACCAAGTCAATCAATATCAATTTTTATTTATCATACATCATTACATCCTCTTTGCAAACCCTAATTTTAATAAATATTGTGACTGCATAAAACACTAATTTTATACCCTTTTTTTTTTTCTTCTTATTTCTAACACCAACCAAATAGTTTCTAAAGTGACAGACTATATATATGGAAGGTCCTGCAGGAGAAAAACTTAGTTGCAATGAGAATAGCACTGTTTTGTTATCCCTAACCAATAATGCTATGCCACGTGAAAGTGTTATTACACATGTCATGCATTAATTGACAAAAGAAACAAATCCTAACTTCAAACCAAACAAATACCAATGCATCAATTGACAAGGCTAAGCACATGGAAATTCCTCATACACTTTGGTCATCAACCTCCATGTGATATGTTGATTGGACTATACCATATTACACCAAAAGTACCAATTTTATCAATTTCTGTTCAGAAGTTCCTCTATCATCTGCAATGCAACCCTTTCCTCGTCATCCATCCTATCATCCCCACCATCCTGCCCTGCTGCCATTTCCTCTGTGTCCAAAGCAGAGGTGCTAGTTTCTGGCTGGGGTGGTTGCAAACCCTTCTGGTCCAGCTCAACCATCATCAGCCAGTTCGAATCAGAGCGCGGCCCCGCACCCTTTTGCCAGACTCCAATGTGGGAATTCTCAGTATCAAGCCTCAGGCAAGTGAGGGAAGGAGATGGGGACTTGCAGCACTTGCGAAGCTTGGCACTGAGGATTGCTGAAAGTGCTGAGGAAGAAGATGATGAAGAGTTGTTGTTGTTGTTGTTGTTATGATCATTGGACACTTCATTTGTGAGGACTGGAAAGTTTGTTTTGGCATTTCGACCACTCATCAAAATAGCTGCCTCATCATAAGCTTTTGCTGCCTCTTCAGCCGTCTCAAATGTCCCAAGCCATACCCTTCTTTTCCTGCATTAGCATAAATTTAAAAAAAATTAAAGAAAAGAAAAGAAAATTTAATTAATGACACTATCTAAGGATCAAATCAATGAATTGACACTTCTTTCACATTTCCTAATTAGGCCCTTAATTAGAACACCTACTTGTGTGTGTTTGTGTGGAGATATAGTTAGCCCCACAATAATTAACTAACAAACTTTGTCACGCATACTAAATCTATAAGCTAAATTGGTACTTATGTCTTTTCCTATAACCAAAACCCAAAATTAAGACCATACATTAAACAAGTAATTAAGACACCACCACCATGCTATAATGAGACCTTTTTTTAACAATTGAAGAACACTTAGAACAAGAACTAGAAAAATATATGTAAGCTTTATAAGCAAAATATAAAGAAAAAGGAGCTGTAAAGTATATATATATGTAATTGTGCTCTTAAAGAATGGAAGTATAGGGTGAATAGTTTGTTGAGAAAACAGCAATGGAATTAATGGAGAGGGGTTGGTAGGAAACGAGAAGAAGAGAAGCAGAGAATACAGTAATGGATGACGAATCTCAGAAACCCAGGAGCCCCAGTGGCGTTGCCTGACCCCTCTGAACTTCTTTGATTGTACCATTTTTGTCAGAGAGAAAGAGAGAGAGAGAGGGAGAAACAGAGGGAGGGAGGGAGGGAGGGAGGGAGAGAAGTTTATGGAAGCAGAGTCATAAAAAATGTGGGAGTTGTGCTTTCAATATGAAATAATAAGCTCATCATAGGGACAGCTAGACAGTAACATCTACTTTTAATTCTTCTTTTTCTTTTTCTTTTTTCCTTCTTTCTTTCTTTTCTCTAACCAAGCTAGTTGATTCTAGTTTTGTTTTGTGAGGTCGAATTGAAAAGAGTAAGTACAATCCCAACCAAAAGGAGGTCACAAAGCCAAACCAAATTTGGCTTCTTCCACTGGCTTTGTTTCAGTACTAATATTGACACTATACTAGTGTGGATAAGAATGAGATTTGGAGATTATTTAGCATTGTTTTTGAAAGGGTCAAAAACTTTTTTTTAACAACCAAGAGCATTTTTAACATTGATTGGTAAAAGGGGGTTTTAGATTTAGGTTCAAAATGATTAGTTGTCATTGGATTTAGCTCAGTTTTTGGTTTTAGATGTAAGTCCTTTGACTTTTATTACTTTTTTTGTTGTGTCAATTTTACCCTTTGAGGTAAATAAGGAAAACACATTGAAATCTAAATTTAATGCATTATTTTCCTTATAATTGAATTTCTGAATTTAAATTTTGAATTCTTTCCTTTATAATATTTACCTAATATATGAATAAAATACAATTTAATTAATGAAAGTAAGGCAAACACCCACATGAAATTATGTACCTAACATACAGGTAAATAGTGTTATTATTAACAACGAAAAAAATTTAGTGATAAATCGTGTTACCTATAAGTCAGGAACATAAATTAGAAGACTACCTATAAGTTAGGAACATAAAATAGAAGACTACCTATAAGTCAGATACAAAATAGACAAATAAAATTGCATGTTACCTATATAAAAAAAAGGTACATAAAATACTATTATACATTGTCGAAAATATGAAGAAAAAAAAAAACACATATATACCTATGCAATAGGCAACAAGACAATATATATACACCATAAGATAATATATCTACAATAATATATAATATACCTCTACCATAGAATAAACAAAAATAAAAATTGTTACCTACTCATTTACATAAACTAAAACACCTACGATCCACGAAGTTGAGAGCATAAAAACATACATACGTTACTTTACCTACATAATAGGGTAAACTTAGGTATCTACAACATAGGTAATTAAACATCATATGCCTTTGGTTGGATTTATTTACCTCATTTGAAGGTCATGAAAATATGTATGAGGCTTATTCACTTTCACCCATCAAAGAAATAAGGGCTTCTTAGATCTAGGTCCACAACGATTAGCTATCATTGGGTTTAGTCCTCGCGGTTTTAGTTTTAGATGCAGGTCCTTTTACATTTATTACTTTTTTGTTGTGTCAATTTTACCCTTTGAGGTAAATAAGGAAAACACATTGAAA